ATAATAAGCATAGTTAACAACAAAATGATGATTGTGTTAAAATCTTAAAAAGCTGCAATCTCACCACAATTTATTTGCATTAAATCTTATTTTGCATAAATATACATTCAGCTTGTTTTTATTGGGTTAAAGAGTTGTGGCAATGATTAGTACCCGATGAAACAAATCTACAAAAAGTGTCCTGCTAAAACCAAGACTTGAAAGATGAAAATGGCTGAAAAGAAAAACTATAAAAGCAAGGCAAAGCAATATATTTATATCCAAGTTAAATGTTTGATAATATATGTCTACTTTAAAAAAATAATGAAGTGAAGTTTCGTCATTTAATTGAAAAGCTGCTACTAAGATAAAATACCAGAAATAAACACATTTTTATGTGAAACATTGTGTTGCTGATAAAAGACAGGCTACGACAAAAGAAAAAAATACTGTCAACTAACAAAATCCACAAAAAAAATGTTTAAAGTTGTTCAGACATCTGTGTATGGCTGTCATTGTTTTCACGGTGTTTCATAGAATAAACCACTCCATGTGCTGCTTCTGGACTCTACCTTACTGTAAAGAAAAGAAAAAGATTGAAAAAGTTTCTTTTTCGAATTCATTTTTTGCAATCATCACTGTAAATTATGAGAGTATGACAACTTTTCATCTCTAATTGCTCATTGAAGTTAAAGGCTAAATATTTCTCTAATTGCTCATTATGTGTGGGAACAAAGCCTTTATATGTCAGTTAGAAGCATCTCTAATCTAAAGAAGCTCCTCATATCATCTAACCACCAGCAACAGACTGACATATGGCTGCCCAGATGTTGCTTTTAACTTTTTATGCTTTGCTGAATTAGTTTCTGTTATTTACTATTTTGTCACAAAGAAATACTAGAATTATACATCATATAGTTTTTGTTTGTTTGTTTGTTTGTTTGTTTGTTTGCAGGAATGGTTATTTGATGCTGTTAGATTTAGTTGCAGATCATTTTATTTTTGTTAAATGACTTGAAAAGCATAACTTTTTAGATTCATATAGTTGTGCTTAAAAATGTACATACCCTCCCATTAAAGAAAATGATACATTTCCACTACTAATTCAAATAACACAAAACTGAAAAAGAATAAATGAATTAAAAATGACTAAATTGTTATTTTCTTGGTGCTGATAACTAGCCTGATTACTCATTTCATTCACCTTCTTAGCTCCACCCAGTTCACATGACCGTCCATCTGATCCACCTGCTTCAGCCCCTATTTAACCAGCCTTTAATCAGTCAACAGTGCCAGATTATTCAAGCCTTAGGTGAGAGTGCGTTTTTATTATCAAACTTCCTATATTTCATCACTGAATTTGTATTGTGTTGTATTTAAAGCTTAGTTAACAGAAAACTTTTTCAAAGTCTTCAAAATTTTTGATCATAAAAAGTATGATGCATAAGTACTTTTACTAGTAACTTCTTACTGTGATTATGCAGTAACTAGGTTACTAACTTAGTTACTTTGTTAAGAACTAACTAGTAACCATAACCAATTACCTTTTCTTTCTTTTTTTTTTTTAAGTAATACTGCTGTTGGAGCTGAAAGCACCCACCTGTGGTTTCTGCTTCAATATTAGTGTAAACAGGATCCTCGTCTGGGTCATCAGGGCTTCCTGTTGATGATAAAAATTAACAAAGAAAAGAATATCTAAAGGTGAAAAATGTTAAAACATCTTTTCTCATAGCTGCTGATTCTGGTTTTCACAAGCAAACAAATATTGTTATTACAGGACTATTTTATTATCTGGGTATAAGCTGGAATTATACCGTGTAGTATTCAAATTGAACTATATGGATAGATGCGGGAGGGCTCCGATAAAAAGTGTTGGCAAAAGGGAGGAAGAGTGATTACAATTCTATAAGATGAATAGGCACCTGACTCCCATGTCGAGTTTTGTTATACAGCTGGCAGAGTTAGCTGAATAATCAAACTCTTACCAAATCAGGGGGACAACAATTTCCACATCGACAAAGGCAAAAATAGAGGGCATTCAACTGATCTTTATTTATTCACTGCATAGCCAATAGGCCAAAAAAATTAAATCACTTGTTGCCCTCTTGATATTCCCTACTCTCACGGAGTCGCACCATAAACATGTCGACATGTGTAGCAACCAGCTGGCTGGCTGGCTGGATTATTTGCAAATAGAAAAGTACTATAACATTGAGAGAAATGTACAAGGAATTATATGTAACATGTAATAATGCATACACAATAAATACAATACATCTATATTACATGTTACTAATCAATTTAACACTATTGGCACATAATCAGATAGTGTGTGTGAGTGTGTAAATATTGTGATGGATTTGTATAATGATTTATAGACTTAATAGACTTTATAATGACTATGCAATGTGATGAGCCAATTATTCACCATAAATTACAGTAATCTACTGATGCTATGAAACAGCAAGGGTGTGTACAAGTGATGAATTGATCTTTATTTTTAAAGTTTTAAGCCCCTCTAAAAATAAGAAAATCATCATTGTTCAATGCTGTAGTGCATGTATTGTTTACTGGTCGAACTAACTGGTGTCTATGAATAAACAGAGATCAGTGGTCTAGCTAGGGAGTACCAACATGGTGGCTGGTGACTTTACAGCAATGCGTTCCACCAATGGCCAATCGGCTATTCAGTGAATAAAGAGAGCAGTGGGGTATTCCAGCTAAAACTGATACAACTGTTTGTTTTGCTTCAGCCTTCTGACATGTTTGATGTCATACATTTCATTGTTCAGAAAAATTTCAGTATTAAGGCCAAAGGCGTATTTGCTCCTGGCAGGATGTATTTTCATGAGTTTGTGAATTCACATATCTCATGACAATTAAACTTCCTTGCAAGGTATTTTATAGGATCTAAAAATATAAATTTCTTCATGCTTTTAATGTGTTAGAGAAACTTTTATTTTCATGTTGAAGCTCATTAAGAACTTTAAAATTATTAAAGAAATACTTAATAAAGAAATAATATTTCAAAGAATTAAAATCTTTCAACTGAAATCAGCCAGTTGTTGCATCTCTGACTGCTTCAAGAAATATAGTTTACCTTTATTTGTGACACGTTGGATTGACTCATACTCAGAAGTATCACCTGCAAAACAAAAATAGGTCAAAGTCAGAGTAAAGGAAACATGTTTTATATTTTATACTCAAACATTTAGATTTCAATTTTAATTAAATTCAGGTGTAAACCAGGTTTAACCATTTTCCTTTATTTATACAACAAACTCCAATATTGGGTGTTTTGATAAATATTTAATAAATCAAAGATTTTAGGAAGTTATTTCAAAGTCTAAATCAAATACAAAGCTACTAACCGTGCAGCAGAGAGCTGTAAACTTGACTGTCTGTCTGGTTGACTCCATGATTGATGGTGGGGCTCTGACTGCTGCTTTCTGATCTAAATTATGTTAAAAGTTAAACTTAAATTCAAAGTATAGATGACGATGAATGTTAAGATCAGAGGAAAGGGAACCCTAATGTACTGACCTGATGCAGAAATCTGTGGACAAAGAGAGGGAATTTATTGTATTGTGATACAAATTGTTTCCTTTTTCAGTTTTGTCAAAGCAGTGAAATAGATTTAAATTATTTAGTTGTTTAAGTATTTAAGTCACTACATAGTCCACCACAGTATGAGAGGAAGAAGCGTCTCACCTTTGGACCGTGTGTAGCACCACAACAGCAGCAGCAGGATAATGAGAATTATTCCTATAAACGGTCCAACAATCATCAGCACAGCAAATGAAGAGTCAACAGGACTGGACAGAGACACTGTAACAAAGAAATAAAGATAAGAAACCATAATTTACGCTGACAATAAATTAGTATACACTGTAACAGTGCCTATTTAAAACAACCACCCTGACAGCGATTCATTCCTGACACGATATTCTTCCTGCCATATATTTAGTGTATCAGTATTTACAGGAATACATTATTATTAAAGTTTTTTTTGTTTTGTTTTATAGTGGCCATTTCGTGCCTGCTTTTTCTTTATCATCAAAGTTCAGATAAATACAGTTTCAGGAAAATCAGGGGATTTAAACTTTCCCTGAAAATAAAGCTTTAGTGAATCAACTGCATCAAATGTTTTCATCCTCTCACCTCTAACAGCCATCCAGCTCTGTGGTGACTCCTTTCCTGAATGTTCACACTTGTAGAAACCTTCATCTGACTTTGACACTGCAGAGATGTTCAGCTCCTCTCTGCTGTCATTGTGGATCAGTTTATCATTGTGATAGAAAAACACATTGGAGAGAAGTTTTTGTTCTATATCTCTGCAGCTCAGAGTAACAGGATCTCCCTCAGTCACAGGATGGACGGGGCTCACCAGGATGATACTATAATAATATTTATCTGCAAAACAGTCAAGATAATCAGGTTTGGTCAGCAATCAGCTGGTTTATTATTATCTGGCATATTTGAAAATTAGCATTTTATCACTAGAAGTTAAACCAAGGTAATGGACAGAGCACCTTTTACTGACAATACAAGAATTTACAGAAATCTTTCATTGTTCTGGATTTATGCAAATTACAAAAAATGATCCCTATAATCAAACATTGCAATGAATCATTTATGATCTTGAGATTTGGGATTATTCTCTTCATGTTTCAGGTAATGATTTCATATTTAGAGGTAAAATGTGGGGGTTATAATTCACTTATTTTTCATGTTAAGATTAGAAAGGAAGGTTTCATCTTATCATATTTTTTTTATTTAATTTTATTAAATTCTCCTGGAAAACTATAAACTTCGTGTGACAATTGGATCTAAAACTGTTTTTGCTCTAAGTTTCTAATCTGAAACAAATTTACAGCACATTTCCAGTAAACCCTTTTAAGTTTCCCCCAGAATTACATTAAAACTTCACTTCTGATCCTCGACTTCAGGGTTGAGGCTGAAGCTCTTTGTTAAAGTTATTCTGCTCTCATTTATCTCATACTAAGAAAATATAAAACCAATAAAGATGTCGCCACAAAATGTGTGTTAATATCATTTACATCTACTCAAAAAATATAAAAATATATGATCAAAATTGACATCTGCATTCTTAAACATCTTCCAAAAAAAACATTTGAGAAATTATTAGTGCTAAAACTGTCTAGGATTGATTTTATAATTGATTATTTAATTAATCATCAGCTAACCAACCATCAAATAATTAGTAAGTGGAGTAGCAGGTGACTTAAAAACTCACTCTGAGAAGGAAATAAGCCAAAACTGTACAAAATATATGATGACTTGGATGATTTAGGATGAAAATTCTTTTTTGTCTGTAAATGGTCTCTAAGAAGAACCCTTTAGGTGGCAGTTTTAGCTTCACCTGAATCAAATCCTAAAAACATCTTCTATAAAAAAAAAAACATTTGGCTATCAGGTATTAAAAAGTAGCCATAAACTTTAACAAATAATGGAAAAGTAATCATTAGTTGCAGCACAGTGATTTGTGATAAAAAAAGAAAACATATTCAATAAAATATAAACTTAAAGGAAACTTTATTGTAGAAAGAGAAGGATTGTGAAAGATGATTTTTCATTTACTGTGAATTGTTATTTTGCTCTGATGAAGTAACAACAACTCTCCTGTATTGATCTATTATAAACTAAATGCTTCATGTTCTCTGTTTTACAGGTGGAGGATTATTCTGTTATTTTTGCTAAAAACTCCCTTGGAGCAAACATTTACTTAAACACATGAAGCCACATGTTGGAAAAACAGAAAAGTGAAAGAAGGAAACTGAGTTGAAGGATTTTGAAGGAAGAAAATATTTTACCTCCTTTTTTATTTACTTATAAGTTTTCTTGGAGAGCAAATACAACATATCAGGCTCTGGATATTAATGTTATGTTCACAGTAACTGCAGCTTTTACAGTATGTGAAAAGGTTAAAGCAAATATCATCAATCATAACCTACCCTGTACAGTGATGTTGACTGCGTTGCTAAAATCTCCTGATCCAGACTCACACCAGTGCACTCCACTGCGAGACCAGTATGTGTTTATAGAACATGAGGATCCAGTCATTGTCCCCCAGTTGGAGCAGTGAGTGTCTGATAGTCCACCTGTTTCTGTAAACTTCCTCAGTCTCCACTCAGTGTTGTTCCCACTACAGCTCAGAGTGACAGACTGACTGATAAAATGTTGAACTCTGTCTGGAGTCACTGAGAGAGAAGCAGCTGGATGAGAGTCTGAAAAACAACATAGAAATATAATGATTATAAAATACTGACATTAAGTGTTTTTTTCTAACAGTTATGTTGAAAAATGTGCTCTAATTTAATGGGATTGTAAAAAGATGTAATTTACAGAAAAATAAACATCTAAAGGGACTAATCACCTTCAATAGCAAAGACCCTAAACCTCAGATATTCGTGTTAAAACAAAGCTATAGATGCCAAGCATTCATCCTGATAGTGTTTACTTTGTTCTTTTTTAAGCATGAAGAGATTTTCTAACCAATTGTGATCAATAGACATAAACTCTGCTGTGCAGCCTCACCATCATCTAACAAACTCTGGCAGCTTCAGCTCCTGCCTCAGTGAAAACCAAAGTTCA